TTTTTTTAATTGGGGCAGACTTTCTTTTGGCCGTGGGAGTTATTTGATTGGCTAAGTTGTAAGTGGAATTGAAGCTGCAACTTCTTGAACCCAAGAGATTTTAATGGATCTAACCATACTGAGATATTATTGATTGTGATGCCAAGTGGTTAGAACTGTAGATTAAAAAGTATTGATTAGMATTTATGCCATTCCAGGTTTATCCAAGAATTGTCAAGCAACTAAATAATAATTTTCACCTCCCATKTTTGGAGGTATGTGTTAGGATGAAGCAACTTTATTTTTTCAAGTTATTTTATTATGTAAAAGATCTCATATAAGCAAGCCCAAGAAAATGACAAAGTTTTAGAGACGTAAAATATGATTTGCTTATTTTTGTTCCTTTTTGCATCCTCTTCCTAATTATTCATGGAATGGCCCATTGATACTTTTTATGCTGATAACAATATTGAGGTTTTTGAACTGGTTATTTTTTGTTCTCAGATTTGAATTTTTTTTTTTTTTAGAGAGAGAAAGAATTTTTTAATATTTATTTTTTCTTTTTTGGTGGATATAACATCTTTATTTTTTTGATTTTAATGTGGTGCTGAGGATCGAACCCAGCGCCCCGTGCATGCCAGGCAAGCGCATTACCACTTGAGCCACATCCCAGCCCCTCAGATTTGAATTTTTAATGTTTTTTTAAATCCTGTTTATGTTTTTTCCTCTAGGATAATATTTACATGTATGGAGGAAAAATTGATTCAACAGGCAATGTGACCAATGAGTTGAGAGTGTTTCATATTCATAACGAATCATGGGTATTGTTGACCCCAAAGGCAAAGGAGCAGTATGCAGTGGTTGGACACTCAGCACACATTGTAACACTGGAGAGTGGCCGGGTGGTCATGCTGGTCATCTTTGGTCACTGCCCACTCTATGGATATATAAGCAATGTACAGGAATATGACTTGGGTAGGTATATTTTTTTCTAATATACATGTTTTAAACATCATCTTAAAAACCTCTCCCTTTATTGTTAGGATGTTAAACAATATTCAAGCTAACCTAGATCCAGTTCTTCATCTTGAAACACAGATTACAGGGGTATAAGCAGTAAAATTTAGGCTACTGATACCCCTTTGTAGCGTGTATGTGCTAGTGTCAATGCAAGGAGCCAAAGAAGGCACTGAATACTTTGGTTGTTAAAAATCAATAAAAATAGTTCAGAACTACGAATACTATGGAAGAGAACTTGAATGGCCCTTTGGTGATTGGTTTAATGGAGTGTGAATTTCCCTTAATATATAATCTTTCCTTTGGTTAAATTTTATTTTATCTATTATTGTTTAGTGGGAGTATCAGCCATAATTGACATTTTGATAAAGTTGGCCCATAATATACACCTCTATATCGGTCACTTAAAGGCCATAGTGAATTAAATTCTCACTTGTTAAATTTAATGAAATTGTTTTCCTATATAGAGTGTTAGAACATCAAAACATGTAACAGATTGGAATTGGCCATATGGCTTTGTTACAAGTTTTAAGTGGATTTTTTTTTTTTAGACAGAAAGATAAAATTATATGTATCAACCCTCTTGAAATCTCTTCTCCATCTGTGCGATATTTTGAAGTTGCATTTTAGAGAAGGGGAACCTGCATGCTTTTGACTGTTTTTCCCTTTCCAGAGAGGAACACCTGGAGTATTTTGCAAACCCAGGGTGCCCTTGTGCAAGGGGGTTATGGCCACAGCAGTGTTTATGATCACAGGACCAAAGCCCTGTATGTCCATGGYGGTTACAAGGCTTTCAGTGCCAATAAATACCGGCTTGCAGATGACCTCTACAGATACGATGTGGACACCCAGATGTGGTGGGTGCTTTTTCTTGAGCTTTTGCTTAAAAGTGTGAATTCTATAGAGGCAATTGTTGGAAAAATATATTTGCTGATTTTTTTTTGGTTTCAGACCGGGCAGGTAATTCTGTTTAGCATTGTATATAAAGAAAATTAGGAAAAAGCATAGGGTAATAAATTAGCTGATGTTTATTTTGTTATATTATCCTATTTTGTAATATGAAACTGCTTGGTTTTAGGGCATTGATTTCCAGTTTTCATACACTGAACGCTACAATAAAATTTTTTCCCTTCAGAATCCTAAGGAGTGAACTACATAGTTGAGTTTGTATACACATTTATAATTAAATAAACTATATTCTCTTTTTCTGGTGGTGATGTTTGAGATGGAACCCATGCATGGGAGACAAGTGCTCTACCACTGAGCTGTACCTCCAGTAAGATATATTCAGTTTTGAACTTTATCTTAATGATCCAAGTGTCACCTTTGGGGTCAGCTACTGGTGTCATTCCAATAAAATCAAATAGGATGCTGATACCTAATTGATAGAGCTCGCTTCACTCTGAACCAGAGACCAGCTTATAAAAAGTACTCTGATTTTAACAACTGTAAAGCTAGTCTGAGTTATGAAATCATGTAATTTTAAAGCAATGTTTTTCTTCTTTTTGTATTTCCTTACATATTTGAGACCGTGCCCATGAAAATGTATTTACATTTTGGAATAAAAATCATCATTTTTAGTGACTTTATAATACTTTTTCATCTGAGTATACTGAGCCTGTGTGATTGGAAGTTTTGGTTTCTAGCTTTTGTCTTATTAGTATTTTGCATAGGTCTCTCTCTGTTTCAAATGATTTCTGCCCAGGAAGTGGAGTTATAGTACCATGGGGTATTAACATTTTAAGGATCTTAATATCTTTTGCCAAAATTCTTATAAGTTTCAAAAGTTTTACGTGTTTGTTGAGAGAGCTGCTAAGTACAAGCAAAATTCTGCAAGTATTTACACATTTGGGTTTGAAGCTAATAAAATGGTTATGTTTGCATTAGCAGATAAATAACTATTCTTAAAAACTAACCTTATATTTATTATTTTTAAATAAACTCAAAGGACCATTCTTAAGGACAGCCGATTTTTCCGTTACTTGCACACAGCTGTGATAGTGAGTGGAACCATGCTGGTGTTTGGAGGAAATACACACAATGACACATCCATGAGCCATGGTGCCAAATGCTTCTCTTCAGACTTCATGGCTTATGACATTGGTAAGTTTCCCAGAGCCATTTTTCTCTTCAGAAGTGTTTTTTTATATAAGCAGCATTTTAAAAGAAACTGAAAACATCACTAGTTCAAACGGTCAGGCCACTTGAAAGAGGTCCAAATGGTAGTTTTGTATTTATTTGACTAAAGTTATATATTTATTCAGAAGCATTACTTTACATTCAGTTCTTTTAGAAGTCACTCTTTTTTATTTTTGAAGATGAGTTGAGATAACTAGTCTCTTCTTTGTTAGAAATGCTTTACATAATAGTGTTATTTTGTAACTACCAGCACTGGGTTAAGATTAGCTTTATTTTATTTCTTGTAAAACAAGTCTCACTTGTATTCTTGGTGTGATAACATACTTGACCACCAGAGGGCAGTATTTCCTCATTCATAAGTAATACCAGTGTTGTGTATAAATATTAGATGTTCATTTAAAAAAAAWTTTTTTTAATTGTGGTAAAATACACATAACATAAAATCTAGTATCTTAATATTTAAAAGTATATAGTTTGGGGCTGGGGTTGTGGCTTAGTGGTAGTGTTTACCTAGAATCTGTGAGGCATTGGTTTTGATCCTCAGCACCATAGAAAAATAAATAATAAAATTATTTAAAAAAAGTGTATAGTTGGTAGAATTAAATATAATAATAATGCTATGCATTTAGCACTACAGTTCATCTCCATAACTGTCTTCATCTTATAAATCTGAAACTATCCATTTGGCAACATTTCCACCTTCCCTCTATCCTTTGCAACTACCATTATACTGTCTGTCTTTATTGTATACACATAAATMTACAGTTCACTTTCAGCAGACATTTATGTGCTAGCTCCTGAACTTCTGCACTGGGGATGATCAAATGAATAAGTTATAGCCCTTAGAGTAAAAGTGGAGGAGACAGAGAAATGAGCAGACAGTATAGTTGCAATTCAAGATTTTTTTTCCACTGAAAGCAATATATTTGAGCATAACCAAGTATTCCTAAGTCCTGGTAAGAGCAATAGCAGGGAAGGCCTTCTTGTAGGTCCTGAGGAACACTGGGAATCAGTCACATACTATTAGTACTTCCCAAACAGAGGAAGTCCATGTGTGGTGACACAGAGACAGGAAGTGACCAAGGCACATATTTAGGGCCTGTGAGTTATTACTATCCTGTTCATCATACCAAAGGTAGCAGTGACCCCAAAAGAGACTAGAAAAGTAAACAGCTGTCAGCCTAGGACCTTCAGATCTTAAGTAGCCTGTTATGTTATGTTGAGGAATGTGGGATTTTTGAAGCATGTTTCAGAGGAAGTGATGGAATAGTATGTATATCTTAGGAATATCGCATTAGTGGCGTTTTGTAGTATTTGGAAAGGGGCATGTTGGCATTTAGGAGACTTGCTCAAGTCTTGGTGAAGGTTTGAACTAAGGTGGTAGATGTGGCTCTRAGAATAAAGATATAGACATACTTTGATAGCTACCAGGAACTTTGAGGTTTGATGGGATGTGTTTTGAAAGAAGTGAAAGCATCCTTAATCCCAGGTATGTGATGTGGACCATTACCTATTGCCAAGATTGGGAATCAACATGGAGGAGTACAATCTGAGAAGAAGAGAGTGAAGGAAATGTTGGACCATATCCAATTGAGGATATCTGAGAGAGAACAACTCAGAGAGCTGGTAGGAAGCTTCAGGAGGTGTGAAYTTCTGTAATGAAAAACAGCCACAGGGCAGATGGATAGAGAAGTCCAAAAGAGAGTGAAGATTGTGAATAGTGTTATGGAAGTAGGAGGAAAATAGGTGAGAAGGATGATCTCAGAAGAATTGGTTAATGCCTCCAGAATAGTTAAGTAAAATAAGGACCTGAAAGTCCTTCAGATTTAGCAAGAGTTTATTACCCTCTAGTCATAGAGGAGTAACGTAGATTATAGGAAGCTGGGAAATAACATGGGGTGAAGTGCATACATGGTGAACATTGACTTTTATTTAAAAACTTTCAGTGAAGGGAAGGAAAAGGGCAAGTTGAGTGCCTCAGAGGGAGATAAATCTAGGAGAGGCATTAGAGAAAGAAAAAGAGAGAGAGTCAGAGGAAGATGGGATATCTTGAGGATATTTAAATGTTGTGGTGAAAACCAAAATGAATGTGGAGACTCAAAGGAGAAAAGTTTTATGTCGTTGAGTCAGAGAAGGGACTTTGGGAGGGGAGAAGAAGAAGAGATCCTGCCATACTGGTTTGGGGGAAGGAAGCAAGGTAGGCAGAAAGCTGGGGCAGTTGTGGCCTTTGAACTTCACGCTGAAGAAGATGGGGTAGAGGCTGGATAAGAGAAGGCTATGTAGGTAATGGTCAAGCTCTGCTTAGGTAGGTCTCAGAGGGTGAAGCAGTGAGCATGTGGGTGGTATGGTGCAGGAGCATCTGCTCTTATTCATTCAGAAGAGAAGTTATTAGCATAGGTTAGGTCAAAGGAAGCTTTTCTAGATCTAGGGGATCTAGAAAAAGACTTAAAATATTAGATGAATTTAAATTAAAAAAATTTTAACTTTCACCTACATTTTTCCATTGTAGCTACTAAGTTTGGGCGAATCAATATAGAGAAGAGTGGAACATAATTGTGGAACTCACGTTTTACTTACATCAGCTTTGTAGAAAATAAATTTTCTTTAAGTTAAAAATTATCTTGGCTTGGGGTAGGGTGTGGTTCAGTGGTAGAACACTTGCCCATTGTGCATAAGGCCCTCCTGTGTTTGATCCCTAGTACTACCAAAAAAAAAAAAAAGAAGAAGAAACATTCTTGTGGGTACAATCAAAAGGATAGCAGGGTGAAAGACCTGTATGTCATGGCTGTTAGATGCTAATTGCCATATGACCCATCTTGTTTTTGGTACTGGGGATTGATTTCAGGGGCATTTAATTAGTGAGCCATGCCCAGCACTTTTTATATTTTGAGTCAGGATCTTGCTAAGTTTCTTAGGGCCTTGGTAAGTTGCTGAGGCTGGCTTTGAATAAGCCTCCTGAGCTGCTGTCTTGTGCCCCTGTGCCCATCTTTTGTACCCTACTGCTCCACTGCTGCTGGTTATTACCCAGCAATCATAGCATGACTAATAGAGTTGACTGGTATGTTTTACAAGGCTGTGTGTGTGTTACAGTCTTTTTCTCCTTTTTAAATTTTTTTTAATTGTAGATGAACACAATATCTTTGTTAATTTATTTTTATGTGGTGCTGAGGATTGAACCCAGTGCCTCACATGTGCGAGGTAAGCGCTCTACCACTGAGCTACAGCCCCAGCTCTACAGTCTCCTTGAAAACTGTCAGTTTCTGTTGATTATGAATGGCAGTCCTCTCTGAAATGTGTTTTTTCTTGCTTCTAGCTTGTGACCGCTGGTCAGTGCTTCCCAGACCTAATCTCCACCATGATGTCAACAGATTTGGCCATTCCGCAGTCTTACACAACAGGTAATTGGAGAAGTGCTTGCTTCTTTTCTTTTGTGCTTGAGATGGAAGTGAAATAAAATATGTAGAAGTGAAAATGGACTAATATTATTTGCAGAATTCCCTCATTCCTTTAGTTTTTCACAGAGTACAAATTTCCTGATTAAGGGTTAAAATATTCGATGTGACTGTAAATTGCTTCAAATGCCATATTTGCTGATCTGGTGGTGTTAGCACACAGGCACATGCTATGTTTGRTGGTATTGGGATGTGTGGGGCAACAAAAGCTCCATGCATGTTACTGTGTTAGGTCTTATGTAATTCTTTTTGGTACTTAGGTTGTTGAGTTTCAAGCAGCTGTATCTGAACAGTAAAGAAAGTTTTGGAAAAAAGTAGAGAGAGCCCATTAGGTGAGAGATAAGGTAGGGAACAGAAATGGAGAGAGGTTGTGGATCTTAATATAAGGCCAGTCTGTAGTCCTTGGATATTTTGAAGTCTGCAATGTGTTTTTCTTCACTGCTTAAAATCGCCTGGGCCAGCTACCAGAACTCATCATAAATCTGCTCTGGAGAAATTCTGTCCAATAAAGGAGATTCTGAGTGGCCAYTCTACCTACCTGTTTCTTACATTGAGCTTTAAAGATGTTTAAGAAGTTAAACAGCCTACTCATGTCATTAGTTTTTCTCATTCTGTTTCTGCTATTATTACTACTGTTTCTACTTTTAAAATTCAAAGTCACATAGACCATGTAACTATTGAAGCCTTTAATACTTGCATTATGTTAGGATACCTTTGGCTTTTAAAATTTCTGTTGTAATGATGAGAGTAATTTAACTTGAATTAGGAAAAATAAGAAAGCAACATTTTTGAGATATTGTGAAGGAAGAGTTGATAGAATTTAGACACTGGGGATTGGTCCAAGTGCTATCTTTTATAGAGCAGTTATTTAAATTTTTTTAGCAATATGTAAGATTTTATGGTGAGAACGTTTGGTAGTGATAGACTAGCTTCTTGAAGTTTTCCCCCCAGAGAGCAGAGGCAGCCCTGGGCATTACCTTGTCTGTGGCTGCCTGGCCCCAGCTCTCCTCATCTTGGCATTCCTGGAGTTTTCCTGGCACATAGTTTGGAATGGAATAGGCATTTGCTAGATGTCAGTCATTCGTACTGTGATGATAACTATCAAACAGATGAATCTTTTATTAAAACCTTCTTGAGTTTTATACAAACTCAACAAGAAGTTGACTGTTTATCATAAAATGTAGTTTAACCGTGAATCAAAGTTGGAAATGGCTTGTTTGATGATGATGCTTCTGTTTTTGTGTAATACAATAGTGTGTTTGGGCCTGATATGTGAGTGTGAGTACTGGACAGGCTTGGCTGGGGCGGAGATAATGAACGAGGCCATCTACTAAAAGGCTGTGGTTTTAGTTTAATTTTATGAAATAATGTGGTGAAAGAGAAACTTTGATTCACATCATTTCTTTYTTTTTTTTTTTAGAGAGAGAGAGAGAATTTTTTTAATATTTATTTTTTTAGTTTTTGGTGGACACAACATCTTTATTTTATTTTGATGTGGTGCTGAGGATCGAACCTAGGGCCTCACAAATGCAGGGTGAGCACTCTGCCACTGAGCCACAACCCTGGCCCCTCTAGATTTCTTTGAAGACCTCTCCCTGCCTTCCCAGAGCCACTAGGTGACCAGAGGAATTAAGTATTGCTGAGAACACCAACTCTTCCTGGGTAGAGGAGGGAGTTCATTTGGTTAAAGAACAAATAGAATTTGTTGAATCCAGCCTGACTCACGTGATGCTCTGTGAGCCAATAGTGGGGTTAGAAATGTAGTGGGGCTGGAGCTGGGGCTGTGTGTGGTTCAGTGGTAGTGCACTTGCCTGGCATGTGTGAGGCACTGGGTTTGATTCTTAACACCACATATAAATAAATAAAGTAAAGCTAAAAAAATATATTTTTTTWAAAAACGAAATGAATGTAGTGTTCATTTTGTTGTTTGTATTAAAATATGAAGTTTTCAGATATGGTAATAAATACTTATTTTATGCTGCTATGAACATAAATGTACAAATATCTCTTCAGTGTGCTGATGATTCTTTGTATATATAGTCAATAGTGGGATGCTGAACCATATGTAGTTCTTTTTAAAAACTTTTGAGCAACCTTCATACTCTATAATGGTTACATTTGGTATTTGTTTTTTAGGGATTGGCTAGCTTCACTAAGCATAATCTGCTCTAGTGCCATCCATTTCCCTGGAAATTCCATGATTTTGTCATTTTTTAGTGCTGCGTAATATTCCATGGTGTATAAATGCCACATTTTTTTTATCCATTCATCTATTGAAGGGCATCTGGGTTGGTTCCACAGTCTAGCTATTGTG